TGGAACCATCTAGTCAGAAATTCCAACAGTTTTCTGTGTTGTAGAATTCCTGTTGAGTAAATGGGAATCCTTTCACAAAATGGAGGTGTGACTTTCAAGCCTGCTTCATCTAAGGATACACACACTCACATGTTCATTTGGAGATTTATAGCAATTAGTGTAGATTTTCTAGGGGTTTAAGTGAACTATCACATATTCACTATCTTGATTTCTAGTGATGTATTTAAAGACAAAGGAAACAAAAAGACATAGAGTAAATTTTTAAAGGCCTGGTAAACTTTGTTATTGTGATAAGGCTAATTTATTTGGGTATTTTTTTTGGCTTAGAAAAACGCAATCTCCTCCCCAGTGTAAACAGTTTTTGACCAGAGGGAGGTGGTACTTAGGAATTTGTGATAATTAAGAATTTATTTGGTTTGTTATGGTACTTTGGGGATTTATTTATGTTACTTAAAGACAATTTATGCCAACTTAGTTTTTTTTCTTCTTTTTTCTTAGTTTTTTTTTAAATTAAAATTTTAAAGATTTATTTTTTCTTTAAGGTTGAATAAGAGAGATATCTGTCATTTTAAAGGTTTTCAACTAATTTATTTCATGAACGTTTAGTGATTAGCCTTTTAAGAGGATAAATTTTAAGCTATTTTTAAAAAAGGGAAATACTTTTAGGAACGAAATGTTAAAAAACTTTTGTGTGATTTTTAGGAGGCCTACTAAATTTTATTTGTAAGCTAATTTATTATAGTAATTTGATTGTATTGATTACTGTTTGTCCAGATCTAGTGTAATTAGTGAGACTTTATTGTTTGAGGAGAAAACTTTTTTGGGGCCCTTAATATTCTAAGTTTCATTCTTAGGTTTGCTGGTGTCCTTGGACCGGCCTTAAATGGGCACTTTAAGAGAAACATCAGCAGTCGGCAGCTCAATGGAAGTGACATCTGAGATCGAAGGCTAGTGAATAGCTGTCCCTGGGAATAAGGTAGAGAGGTTACCTTGGGAAGGCTAAGGTTGGACTCTTCTTAATTCATTTTCTCATACAAGAAATCTGTCCACCTAGTTCCACTTGCCAGGCTCCTTATAGTGGTGTAGGCCTTGAGGACCAGTTTTGATGCTGTTATAACCATGTCCCTGCTTATATTTCTCATAGCAAATTTCTGTTATCAGGGTAGACAAAGTGGAAGTTTGCCATTGCAATACTGGATCTATTTGTTATTGGATTAACCAAAGCATCTGAATTACTGTAATAAGCTGCCAGTGGGAAGATCTTGCTATTTTGATCTGAATTTATTATCATGCCATGGTCTAAGCAAGAGTTCAATTAGTGCTTGAACTTGTCATATATGTATAAGATTCAATTCCTTAAGTATCTCATTCTTTCAGAATGATGTGAGTATAATTAGACAAAGATAAAGAAGCCTGTGAAACAAAGATATAAATCTATTAAGTTGTGAGGTTAAAGTCAGGAACTTCTTTTGTTTTTGTTTTAAGAAATAGGATTTCAGAACAAATAGTTATATTGGTGAAGATAGTAACTTATGAGCTATCTTGTATCACTTTAACAGGAAATCTGATTTTACTTGTTTGTTGTTTAATTTGGGATTAGAACATGTGTAGAAATGCATGCAAACTACTTAAGGGTCACCTCAAAGATGCTCCCATTGTTTGAAGGGATTCTGAGAGCAGTACTCTATGTTTATGTCCATTTGAACATAGTTAATAACTGACCATGTTTTACTACTGACAACTTTTCATATAAGCTATTCTCTGTATACAATTTGGGATTATCATATTTACACAGCCCATCTCAAGTCTTTTGTTGTTTGTTATGAAGCACCTTAAAGCAGCATCTTTGTGTAATGTTGAACTTGGGGATGGAAGAGCAACTACTCAGTGTGAGTACTAGTGATATCAACACAAAATGTGACTCTCTTATTGTTACCAATGTGAAATTAGTCAATACTCGTTATCTAGGATATGTGCTCCTTGAGAGCTGAATCCACCTGAAGCTCCGATTATCTGAACTTGCTATTTAAGAACTTATGGGACTGTTAACTGATATTATTCTGAGTCTGACTCCAGGTGTGATCATTAAGGAATGCTACTGAGCCAGTGAATCTATGATGCTGGCAACCCTATGGAGTTTACATCTAGGAACTGCAGGTGGAGTTCTTATGTTTTGGGAGAATGACTTTTGGCATGGGCTGGGGTAGTATTCTCCTGACTTAATTTCCCCAATATGACATTTCCTCTTGAAAATATCCCACCTGGCTGACTTTAAGCCTGGCTCAATGCAAATTGGCCATCTATATAACTTTTGCCTGGAATTGACATCAAGATAAGAGAATAATTTCCCTTATGTCTGTATTCTTCTTTTATAGCATATCTCTATAATCATCAGATGATCAGTATGAACACAATATTAAATCTTTATCTTATAGGCTAATACTGGAGCATATCTGAGTTACTATAAGAAGATGCAGTATAAGATTTGAGCTATTTGGCCTAGAATTTTAATCTTTTCTATATTCCAAACAACTAAGTATTTAGCTTGCACTTTTGTTAGAGGTTATTCATTTGCACATGGCTAGAAGTTGAAAATGTTTTGATTATAAATAACTTGCAGTGTTTTAAAATTGATTACTCAGTGCATTTATATGTCCCATCCCAGACCCTTTTGTTACAATTAGAGTTCATCTGGCTACTTTCGGATGAATTTATTTTTGTATTGGAGTCCATCTTCTTATGAAAGGTGTTGTGCTATTAATTCTTTAGTGGAATCTCATCCTCCTAATGGGGGAATGAATAATGCCAAGGACAAAAATTGGGTTCTAATTTTCAGTTTGTGTCTGAGTTTCCTATATATATATCAGCATGGCAATTTGCCAACCTAAAACTGTAAAATCCCTGGTCCAAAAGGTTCCGAATTTCATTTTTTAATAATAGAGACATAAGGTTTGAGCTAACTTTCATTATCTGACCTGGTTATTGGCAAAGTAAATTTAAAATCGTGTTAAGAAAAATTTTGTAGGAAATTTTTAGCAGAGAATGAGGCAAAGAACTGGGAAGGAAGACACAGCAAGAATAGGAAAAGAGCCATGGCTCACCTATTGCTCTCTTGGGTTTTCTTCTCCTTCATCCAAAGCAGAATTAAGTGAGATAGTGGAATTCAGCCAGGCTCAGGGAGTGGGCTGTCACCTCTATGACTCCCCTGGGCTCTTGAGACCTCAGTGACCAGTATGCTCTTGGCACAGGGCCCCTGCTATGGTGGTGGCAGTCAGCAGCCTCGTCACTAATCCTGATTTGGAACTCTTCTTTCCTAAATCTAGCAGTCTGTTGGGTCACTTGCTAATCAGTCAGTCAGAACATATTTGTGAAGGGTTTACCATGTGCCAGGCTGGAGATACAGTGAAAGGCAAAAACGAGGCCCCTGCCCTCAGAGAGGTCACATTCGAGTAGTAATAACTAGGCACATCCAAGATGTGGCCAGAGCAGATGGAAGGTCATCGGGAGACCAGGAAAGGTGAGACTTGAAGGAAGCCAAGGGAACTAAGACAAAGACTGGGAGTGGAGGGGAGTCAAGGGTGAGGAGAAGGGGAAGGTGAGATGAAGTCAGCTTACGAAAACCTTTCAGTGCCAAACAGAGGAGCTTGTATTGATCCTGGAAGTTACTGAATGTGTGTGTGTGAGAGGGCCATATCTTAAAGGGCAGCTGGATGGTGCAGGGGACAGAGTGCTGGCCAAATGCCCACAATGTCTGCTCAGAGTGCTGGCTGCTCTCCCGCTCAGCAGACAAAGTTTAAAAAGAAGGGTTTCAACATGAGAGCAGAGGAGGAAAGGGATGAGAGGTGGCAGATGGGATTCCTGACGTGGCTCAGGTCGGGGAGTCAGCCGTGCTGTGGAAGAGGAAAGGAAAGCGGCTGACGAGACCGCTGAACACTTTAGGCTCAGCAGTGGAAGGGAGCTCCTTCCAAGGAGGAGGGAGCTGGCCCCTCTAGGAGGAAGCAGCAGCTTGTCCTCCCAGGACAAGGAGGGGTCATGCTGACTGTGGTGTGTGCAGGGCCAGAGGAAGAAGAGGACATCCGTGGTGGCTGCTGAGACAGCAGAGAACAGAGAACCAAGCTGTCTGCCTTGGACAGAGCACCTCCTCAGACTTGCCCACTGAACTCCATATAGCTAATTTGAATGTTAGCAAAGTAACAAATCCTGTCAGCATTATTGGGGAAAAGATGGCAAAATCGTGTAGTTGGCTGGATTCAAATGAGGTGAGTGGCCAGACCTGAAGTACAGTCTGTGGAGGTGCAACAGCCTCGAGTGGGGTCTTGGCCGGTGCTGAGCACGAGCATGTTAGCTAGCTGTGAGCCCCAGCAGAGACAGACTTACAAGCTATGAGGACATAAGGGCCACCCAGCCCTATAGAGATAAGCTTTTAATGTGGGAAGCCTCCCTCAGCCTTAGACTCAGAGCTTCCCACAAGCCTGGATGAGTCTAGGGAGAGAGGAGCCAGAGACCTCACCAGGCCATTTCCCAGCTAAAATGACGGGACAAAGCCTGGCCTAATCGGATTTGCCCGACTGCAGTAGGTTTAGAGCCGGAAGGGATCTGAGAGGCATCTAGACCAACTCTGTCATGTTGCAGACAAGGAAACCGAGGTGGAGAAGGCCTGGACTGGGCTGAGCTCACCCAGGTAAGAAGTGGCTGAGCCGAGTCAGTCCAAGTCCTCTATTGTCAAGTGCAGCCCCAGCCCCATTGCACAGCACTGCCCGTCTTGGTGATCAAAGGGCTGTCAGTAGCAATTTCTTCACTGCTGTTACCTCCCTCAGCAATCAGGCAGACAGAGGAGAAGGTGGCTCACCCCCATTCCAGCCCTAGGCACCAATGTGACAGGCCGCTGGCTGTAGGCCTTGTTAGTGCTAGACACTGCCCATGATGATGGCTGCTATCAAGCAGGCCACCAGAGGCATTTTTAGGTGTGATACAGTGTGAGGCTTGGGCAGTATACTCACGGCGATGAGCTGGTAGGAGTTGTTCATCATTGCAATGAGCATGTTCAGCAGTACCACCAAGGAGATGACGTTATACGTCCCGAACATAGTTGCGCCCACAAATTCAGTGAACTCATGCCTAGCTTTGACATTGGTGACATAGAGATTCAGAAGTCCAAACACTGACCAGAAAAGCGATTGCAGAGTCTCAAAAAGCCTGAAGGACACAGAGAGCATTGTTATCTATTCTCTTAGGCCTCCTTAGGAAAAGGGGGGGGGAAGAGGTGGGGCACAGTCTAATGCCATTCCTCCTAGGGAGGAGCTGGTCCATTCCCTCTGAGCTGGTCATTCTCCGGGCCTGGAATGCATTCCCTCTTTTCCTCCCTCTGCCTCAAAGACCACCTCTCTTTCTATAAGATGCAGCTCAAGCCTGACCCTCTAGATGAAGCCTTTCCTGACTCCACTCTGCGAAAAGAAAGACCTTAAAATCAAAACCTCCCCACCCCTTCCCAACTCGACTGAAACTCACTCTTCCCCCCTCCCAACTTGAAAACCCCTTAATCTTCCCTCCAATTAGAAATCAGATTATCTAATTTTGTATCCTGTTGTTTTAATTAATTGGTCATATTTGATTATTTTTAACACAAAAAAATCTGTCTCACTCTGTATTCAGGGCCTTTGGAACTGTTTGGGGAGTCCATCGACCTGTGTGTTACGCCCGTTTTGCTAATAAATCGTGTACCTCGGATTGTGTTCCTGTCATTATAAATTCTCCACTGCACCTGCCTGCTTGCTGTCACCTGCCAGCACCTTCCCCCCAAACTCCTTTGGGCAGACTTGTATTGATCACACTATGTTGGGCAGACTCTACATACTTGGATATGGCCTGGTTGCCTTCCTGATTAGAATGTAAATTCCTTGAGAGCAGGGATTGTTTCATCCTTTGGACTTGTATCTGCAGTGCCTGGCACACAGTAGATGATTAATAAATGCTTGGTGAATGATTGAAGGATTGACAAGCTTGAGCTACTTTGACTCTTAAGGATGTTTGCTTTGCTCCTCCCCCCACACACACATGGGGAAGGGGAGCTGGTCATTCTAGGCCTCAGAGGGCTTTCCTCATTGCATTGAGTCTCCCCTCATCCCAAACCCTCTGTTTCCCACAGATAGCATCTTTTCATTGCCCCTGCCACACCTCTGCTCCTGCTTTTCTTCCGGTTTGGCGTGCCCTCCCCTCTTTGGCTCAGGCATAGGACAGTAACTGCAGTTCAAGCTAGAAGCTGTTCAGTGTGGGAAGAGCCAACTTTGTGCTGGCATCGGTCTCATGGCCCAAAACAAGGATGGATAGGAGGACCACAGCAGATGTAGAGAGAGTCACTCCAGGTGCAGGAATGGGGGAAGCCGAGGCCAAGGTAGATAGGAAGGCCACGCCTTAGAGAAGAAGAAGTAGCCTGATTCAGGGTCTGGCTTAAGAGGAAAACAAAGGCCTTTGGACCTGCGCTCCTCCTAGGTTTGTGATGATTGCATGGCTGTCACGGCTATAGCTTGGCCTCTGCTGAATCTCAGCTCCTCCTTGCCTTCCTCTCAGCAGGGGGCTGTTCTATCTAGGGCATGGCACTCGAGGAGGCTTGCAAACTGCAGCTGAGCCAGTGGGCGCAAACCAGTGACACCAGCACTGTCACTGCTCGCTTGGTGGGGGTTTTCAGCACTGCCGCCAGCCCCCTGTGGCCCTTCTTGAGCTCCGCAGCTAGAATGAGGGACAGCCTTTGCCCAATGCTTTCCAGTGAGGAAGACCCCCTTCCCTCCCACCCCATGTGCTGCCTCAGCAGCCCATTCATTTCTCTTTTGGAATGTTCTGTGGGATAGGAAGTTTTTCCTGACATTCCTGACATGGAGCCCAACTTAGCCTTACCACTGCTGCTGGTTCTCTCCTCTCTGTCCGAGCAGTCCTACACGCAGGACTCCCCGCGTGGACTGTCTCGGGGCCCATCCAGTCTTTCAGGGAAGGGTCTGATAAAGCTCTTTGATATGTGACTGACCTAAGGGTTTTTTTGGTGAGGCAGTCGGGGTTAAGTGACTTGCCAGGGTCACACAGCTAGTAAGTGTCAAGTGTCTGAGGTCACATTTGAACTCAGGTCCTCCTGACTCCAAGGCAGAGCTCTATCCACTGCACCACCTCACTGCCCCTACCCAAGGGGTTCTTCCTAGGGTTCCTAGGAGCATTGATTTGGTGGAGTTTAAGGCACTAGACAGCAAGGGGAGAGGGGCAGACACAGGAAGCAGATTGTTAGTCTCTGGAGCACCAGCTCAGTGGCCATTTGCTCCACAGGATTTAAAAGACTGTCATGTGCAATAATAATGGCTCTATTAGCTAACATTTGTATAGTGCTTACTATGTGCCAGGCAACCTATGCTAAGTACTTTACATATATTATCTCACTTGATCCTTACAGTGACCCTGAGAGTAGGTGCTCTTATTTTTCCCATTTTACAGATGAGGAAACTGAGGCAGAGGTGAAGTGACTTGCTCAGGGTCAGATGGCTAGGTAGTTTCTGGGCTGGATTTGAACTCAGATCTTCCTGACTCCAGGCCCAACACTCCATACTATGGTGCACCCTAGACGCCCTCAATTCCCTAGCTGTGGAAGAGGGATTAAACTTGTTTTTCTTGACCCTGAGGGCAGAACCAAAAGTAATGGGTAGAAATTGCAAAAAGCCCAATTGAGGCTGGGTGTCAGGAAAGTCTCCCACTCCAAAGTGGAATGGGCTGCCTTTGGAGATGGTGGGCTCTTGTCCCCCACAGGTCTTTGAAAGGAGGCTAGCATTTTCCTTCAGTTATAGGTTCGACTAGACCATCTCTCAGGGTAAATCTGGCACATGGGAAAAAACTGGGCTGTATCAGATACCTAGTGGCTGATAGGAAAAGTGCCGAGAGCAGGGACAGAGAATGTTCCATTCTGGCCTCCAGACCTCAGGGCCATGGTGGCTCTCCACAAGGCTGAGAGGCCTCCACAGGGAGATGTCAGAGCTTGAAGATGACATCAGAAGGATTGGAGGGGGTGCCTTCCAAAGCCTGTTCTCAATGATCAGGTACAGGATAGCTAAGAAGAGATAGGATCAGGCAGCTAGGATTCAAGAGGCCTTAGAGGTCATTTGGTCAGCCCCCCTCATTTTACAAATGAGGAAACTGATGTCTAGGGAAGGGAAGTGTCTTACCCAAGGTCACAGAGATATTGAGTGACGAGCAGGATTTGAATCCACATCCCAACTCCAAATTCAGTGCTCTTTTCACTGTACCATGCCACGCACTGTTCAGAACTAGGGAGGTCTAATAACAAAATGTCTTCACTGCCCTTGATACTTTCAGAGAGAACTGGCAGAACTTATCACTGCCACTGAGATCAGAGAGATCAAGGAAAACAGGAGGATTTTGATAAGATGGAGAGTCTCCAGATGAGGGCAACCAGCTGGTGAAGGGCCTCGAGGGCAAACTTAGGAGGGTCAGAGATTTAGAACTAGAAGGGCCCTTGGAGGAGACTGAGAGCCAGAGGGTCACACAGGGACTAAGTGGCAGAGGGCAGATTTGAACTCGGTTTTCCATGCCAGGCTGCCAGCTGTGTGTGAGCCCTCCTCCTAGGTCACTTCATACTTAGATAATGTCAGCCAAACTTCCCAGCAATGGGAGCTGTCTAGGAGTGGAATGGGCGGCCTTAAGAAGTAATGAGGTTGGTGCCGTTGCTGGAGATGCCCAAGGAGAGGTGGGAGGACAGCTTGGCAGTTTGTTAGGAGCTGCTGCAGTGAAAACAGGAAGCCCTAAGGGTTGGCATTAAACCAACTCAAAAGCACTAAGGAAATGTTAGGAAATGAGCAAGGCTAAGTATGGAGAGGAGTGTCACACTTGGAGTGAGGGACCCGGATTCAAATCCCGGTCTCTGGGCCTCAGGCTCTTCCTTTGGAAAAAGGAAGGGATCAGACTAGCTCTTGATCCTTTCTCTATTTACTTGCCACCAAACCAAGGCCTTTTCTGCAGCCACTGCTTAGTAACACAGTCAGGAGATGGATTAAAAATGCAGAGGGGTGGAGCACAGGAGGGGGAAGGCAATCACATTCAAACTTTTGTGCACCCCAAATAATTAATTTAATTAATTGAGGCCAAGCCAAGGAGAGGGGCCTCTCACTTGGCCAGGCGCTGGTACTGGGTGGCAGCAGCTCCTGCTCTCAGGCCCCCAGCTGTAATTTCCTGTGTGACAGGTGCCCATTGTTGTCAGTTGTCCTGCTGGGCATGTGATGGGCACACAATGGCAGCCAGTGTCAGGGCTGTTACAAATCACTGAGCCAAGCTCCCCTTAAACAGTGAATAAACTTCCTAAGTGTGGGCTGCATAAAAGGGTACTTAGGCAGGGGGCTAGCCTCCCATTCACGTGCCCCCTGCCAGCTAATGCCTTGATGGGAACAAATGGCACTTCCTGGGGTTTGAACCCCCACCCAAGTACTTTGGGGGAGCCCAAGCTGAGGGGAGGAGATGTGACCCCACAGCCACTGTGGGGAGGATTGTGGACAGCAGTGCCTAGCACCAACAGACTTACTTGAGGCCGCTGTTCAGAGGCCAGGGGGTTAACACAAGCTTTGCTCCCTTTCTTGTAATCCTATTTGGTCTATGCCTTTGGTTCCTAGAGCCAAGGCTGTCCTGCAGCTTAAAAGGGCTGGGCTGGAGGCAAGATGGTACCAGGGTTGGCAGAACCCCAAGAGGACCTTCCCCAGATAACCACTGGGCCCAATTCACATGAAGAGGAGATGGCAAATGAAGACAGTGCAACCCTGGCTAAAGAGAAGTTCCTTCCTATAAGAGGCCAGTCCTCATTCCCCCAGCTATCTCCCATTCAATGATTTTGCTTATATTTTCTACTTCCTTATCTGTGATCTCTTTGTTTTCTCCCTGGTAGGCTGTAAGTGCCTTGAGGGCAGGGGTTTTCATTTTGGTCTTTGTTTTTCCTGTGCCTTGCACCTGATTGAATTCAAAGAGTGGGGTCCACTGCTTGGAGTCAGAAGACCTGGCTTTGTCCAACCTTATACATAGATATTCACGTCCCCAAGTCACCTAATGTGCTGTGTGATCTTCAGTGAGTAATTTGCCCTCTCAGATTTAGAGCTGGAAGGGGCCCCCAAGGTCATGCAGTCCACTCACTTCATTAGTCAGTCAAAAAGCATCTATTATGCGTGTACTGTGCACCAGTCACTGTGAGTGAGTGATCAGAGAGAGTCCTTTGTCCATTGGATACAAATACAGAAAATTGAAACAATCTCAGATTTCAAGGAACTTACCTCACACATGAGGAAAACTGAGGCAAGGTGACTTTCCCACCATCACACACTGAGTACCCAGCCGATTCAGGGTTCCAACTCAGGTCTCTGCTTCCAAAGTCACCTCTGCTAAACTCTGCTACCTGCTAAGGATCTCTCCAAGGTCCTTACATCCCATCAGCCCCAATCCCTCGGGGATATGTATGTAAATGATTGACTTGTCTTGGTTAAAGAGCTGAGGGGTACCCTTTATGCTTTCCCACACTGGTCTTCCTCCTCCGGGGTGGTTCATGAAGATCCCTAGGCCTCAGGAAGGGACCAGTGCCTGCTGGGATATAGGATCATGCTTGGACTTAGCATTCTGTCTACTTTGCTGACTTGACTTGGGATTCTTTTCTCATTGCTTGCCTGAAATAGCATTTGTCAAACTGGAGTACAGAGAAACTGCAACTGTCCTGGCAGCTGGAGGGGTCCAGGAAGGCAGAGCTTCCTATGAGCAGAGGCTGACCAGCAAAGTACAGCGAGATTAGCAAAAGGTCTGGGTGTGCTCTGGCCACTAGGCCCTGAGAGCAGTAGAGGGACTGGGTGTGCCATGGATGCCAAACCTGGAGTGTCAGATATAGTAAGGGGCCTGGTTGACAGAGGCTCTGCCTCTCCCTTTCCCTAGCAGGGTTGGGAGGCTCAGGGAGGGAGCACTCTCAGCTACCACCCCTCTTCTGGGGCCTTCCCTTTGACTTGCACAGCTAACTCCTAAAGGAGACCAATGGCCATTCCATTCTAAGGGCTCTCAGCACACTCATTCCTGGGCTATATTCTCCCTTTTCTATGGGGTAAAGGCACTGGGCTTGGGTCACCCCACTCCATCTATTGGTTAAGCTCTGAATGGGGAAGTTGGCTCTGCTAGAGACCTGTTCAAAGAAGCAGGACAGCCTTGGCTGCAATTTCACTCAGTGGGCTGCCTTTCTGAGTCATAGAAATAATCCAGCCCCAGCAGTCCATTCATTGCCTTCAAAGACAAAGGAAATGACTAACATGTCTAGATCTGGCTTTCCAGCAGAGAGAGAGAGAGAGAGAGAGACAGAGAGATGGAGTAGGAGATGAGAGAGACAGAGAGAGAAAGTGAGAGAGGGAGAGACAGACAGAGAGGAGGGAGAGAGAGACACACACACACAGATGGAGCAAAGAGGGAAAGACAGAAAGGAGGGGCAAGAGACAGACAGAGAGATAGAGACAGAGAGGGAAAGAGCCAGCCAGACAGAGAGAGACAGACACAGACAGACAGAAACAGAGAAACAGAGAGACTCCTTGTAGTCTGAAAAATGTTCTGGTTTTTCTGGACCTCTGAAAGCTAGAATTTTCTATTCTAAGCTAGAAATATCCAATTTCCTGGCTGATTGCCATATCCTTTGCCTGTGACTTCAGGGATGGTAAACCAGGGAGACCTACTTTCAAGAGGGTCCGTTCACCCTGTCAAGTGCCTGAGCTGCTGTGACTGTCAAGAGACCAAGCTGCCCTGGTCTTGGGGCAACCTTGAATGCCCTACAAGTCCTAGGCCACTAAGGACTCTCCTTTGCTGAGGATCCCTGGTGGCATCCCTCTCCTATCATACTTTAGAGGTATTAGCTCAAGCTGTAATTCAGAGGTGCCAGGAGCTCACTGGATGTCCTTCCCTTCACTGGGCCAAATAAAAGGTCCACTTGCTTCCAATATTGACTGGCTTGTCCATATAGTTCTTCTGTCCATCCAGCCCTTTGGCTTCAGCCATGGACTCTGGCACTCTGCCTCCAGCCCTTTCTGTTCCAACCCCCCTCAGCTTCCCCACAACTCTGGCCCTGATCCTTAGGGCTCCATTTTCTTGAAGCAGTAGCAAACAGATGGTTGACCAGGAGTCATCTTGAAGCTCCCCCCAGGGCCAAGAGGAAAAGGCTAAGGAAAGAGGACAGGAAAGGGAGAGAGGCAGGGCCAAGGGCCTGGTGCTCTTACGTGGAGAAGGCGTTGTTCTGTTTCTCACAGCGGATCCCCTTGCAGTTATCAGGCTCATCAGAGGCTCTGGTCTCATAATAAAAGTAAAGCTGGTTCAGTCCATTGGCAAAAGCCAGCAGGACCAGGCAGTAGATAAAGAGGAATTTGAGGATGTCAAGCAACATGCGCCCCAAGGAGATCTGCAAAGGCCCTAGGTGGGAGTTGGCTGTGAACAGGGATATGAGGCGCAAGGAACTTAAAATGTTGGAGATTGCAAAGAGGGCTTCTGCAATCAGGGTTGGGTGCCACATTTCCCATTCCTCCCTGGGACGAGAACCATTGTACTGAAAGAAATAATAAAGGCAGACAGTGAGCATTTGTGTGGCCATCCCACTCTCCTCCCCAACACTAATGCCCGTGCATAAACCAGGCAACCATGTACACAGTAATGCCCCAACAGTCAATGCCACAGACACTCTTTCCACCACTTCAACCAAGGAGGCCCTCACTAATCCTCTCCCCAGGGCCAACCTCCTGGAATGGAAGGGCTTTATCAATGGTAGAGTATGCATGCTCTGTGCGTCCATGGCACAGCTCTGCCTGGGTTCGGCCTCAGTACTCCAACTGCCTTATCTGGAAAATGGAGGTAGCAACACTTTTGCTACCCCCCTAACAAGATTCTGGTGGGAAAGCTCTTGGCCAACCTCAAAGTATCATAGGGAGGTGTTATTAGAGGCAGTATGGAAAGAACGCTGGGCTTGGAAGTGAGGAGATGAGTTCAAATCCTCATTCTGCTATTTACTCCCTGTGTGCCCTTGGGCAAGTCACTTCTCTTTGGGCCTCAATTTCCTTATCTGTAAATGAGTGTGGGTGTTAGAATTAGATGATCTCTAAGGTTCCTTCTAGCTTGAAACAAGCTGGCTCCAGTGCTCACTACCTACATGACCTCAGCCAAGTCCTTTCTCTCTGGCTCTCAGTTTTCTCATCTGTAAAATGGGGGCAACAGTATTTGCATTTCCTAACTTCCAAGAGTATTGTAAGGAAAACACTTTATAAAGCCGAAAGTGCTTTAGAAATGTCATCTTGATTATTCTGGGATAGAATGATGACACTACTGAGTCCAGTCTAGGTGTGAATTCTACCCCTGCCACTCCCTGAGAGTGTGACTGTGGGCAAGTCACTTCATTTCTCAGAGAAGGAGTATGGCCCAATGGAAGGAATCTGGACAGGGAGTCAGAAGGCCAGGATGCGCTCCAGCCCCAGCCCTTTCTCTGGAACTTTCCTGGGCCTCACTTGGCTTGACGAATGCTAAGGTCCCTTCTAGCTACAAATTGATTACCCTCCCCACAACCCCAGCATTCCAGGCAACTCTCTCAGACTCTACAATGGATTGCCAAACAACATCAGTGCAGGGAGTCCCCACACATGGAATTACCCACACTGATGAAGGCCGTCACGGGCCTGCCCTGACCCCTGCCATTACTGTGGCCCTACTTTTCATCATGACCTTTGGAACACCATAGGAATGCCAGCCATTGGTGATTTAGGTCTGGCTTTAGCTGCTGTGTGCCCCCACTGAAGACAGCTAATGCCTGCCCCCTCCACTTTTCAGATTTCATTAAGTATCATGCTCTTCGGAGCCTTTTGGAGTCTCTAGACTGGGCAGGATGCTGAGCCTAGGGTCCATGAACTTGTTTTCATATTGTGATCACAGAGAATTGGTCTCTGCTATCATCCTCTGTATTTTCTGCATTTAAGCAAATGATGCTAAGAAGGGGTCTGTAGGCTTCACCAGACCGCCGTCCAAGGGAGTCCAGGACACAACAAAGGGGAAGAACAAAACTGTTGCAGAAATCTGGGGCCCAGCTGATCACCTTGATGGAAAGAGGCATTCTGGGGTGGGTGCTGCCTTTAAGCCCTTCCCAAATCTGAAACATCCCAGTTGCAGAGGACAGACCATACACGATGCCCTTCCTCAGTTGCATCTGGGCAGCTGCTTCCTCTTCCCCTGTGCCTTGTGGTCCCAAGCACAGAGGGAGCTGCCTTTTACGCTCACCCTCTGATCAGAGCCTGGGAGTTGGGACAATGTGGCCAAGTGTTCACTGGGGCCATGACAGCTGTACCAGGGAGACCATGCTGACTTTACAGAGGAGGACATGAGCCCAGAGGGCAGGAACCTGCCCAAGGCCAAACCGAGAATGATAGCAACAGGAGCAACTTCCTAGAGGGTTTAGCCATTTGCCACACACTCGTGTGCCAACTCTGAGTACCCTAAAGGCTCCGGGAGGGCAGGGCCCAGCTTTTTTCTGATCTTTGCACCCCCAGGCTCCATCACAGCACGCAACAGGTGCTTAGCTGGCTCAAGCAGTGCTATGAGCATTACTCCTGTTTGATAGAAGAAGTAGCTGAGGCTTAGCAAATGACAGATGTAGGAATCACAGTTTGTTCAGAAAGGTCATTGATGATTGGAGGCCAAAAGGGGGGGAAGGGCCTGGTCTCCAGTTCAGGCCATGGGGGAAGCTAAGACTCAGGGAGGGCATGACAGTCACTTCCAAGGATTTGTCATGTGGAACAGGGATTGACCCCAGAGGGGAGAGCCAGGAGTGACGGGCTGAAGGCTGAACAGCAGGAAAAGCCTGCCAAGAGACTTGTCCAAAGTGCAAACTGACTCTGGAATTCTTGGATTCTGTGACCTCTGCCCTGCCTCCCTCTTAGCTCACTGGCCTCCACACAACTGGCCTCATAGTGAAATGCATTCTATGTCAGGATGGAGAAGTACTGAGAGCCAGGTAACTCAGCCTGCCAGCTCTTCCAATCAGATCCTTCTAGGTCTATGCTGCAAACTCAAAAACACGTCAAGGCTGTGGGCATAAGGGAATGGCCACTCAGAGAGGAAAATGAAGGGGTTAAGTGACAAACCTTTGACAAATCTTATGAGTGTGTGTATCCAAGAGCTGTAACTAGGATGGGCCACTGGAGCTTTGTACCCTGACTTCCATTCATATTCAGCCACGTTCTTTGGTGACATTGAATCTTTTATTCCCCACAAATGATATGCAAAGAGCAGGAGAAAGCCAGGCAGAAAGAGGCAAGCTCTGGCTAGAAAAAGTTCAGGAATCTCAACAGTCAGCAGAGTATGGGAAAAATGCAAGGATGAAGGTATGGTGGGGTTGGGATAGCTCTAGGGGGAGAGGAAGAGAAAGGATTTAGGGAGATGGCTCTGGGGGGATGGAGGGGAAGCTAAACTGTGCCAGCAGGGAGGGAAACAAATTCCCTGGCTTCCAGGGAATTTGCTAAGGGAGGCTCTCTGAGTCCAGTGAGGTCATGCATCACCCCTGGAAGATCAAAATTCTGGGTGTGAGGTCACTTGATCCCTTGCTTCAGTTCACCCTGGGGCTTCTGGGAAAGTCCTTCCTAAGGCCAAAATATTTGTCAGTTGTCAGCCATGTTTCCTGCTTTGAGGGATTTCTTCATCCATGAGTGGCTGCACTGCTGAGTTGGGGCAATAAGGACTTTCATGTTTGCCCAGGGCCTCATGCTTGTTGGACTGCATGAGAGACCTCAAGAGGTGATATGATTTGTTTAGAGTCGCTCAGCTCTTAGGTGTCAGAGGTGGGATTTGAACCCAGCTCTTTCTACCTCTGTCCCCTACACCATGCTGCCTCTCAGCCTCTGTCATTTATGCCATCTGTGCTATCTAACAATCAAATGCTGGCCAATATTCCCTCTACAGAAGGTGATGGTGGTATCACCACCACCACCACCTGACACACAGCTATCAAAAGTTTACAAAGGCCTCTAAAGATAATATCTTATTGTCAACCCCATTTTACAAATCATATGTGGCCCACCAGGCCCTGTTTCCTCACCCAAAGGGAAGGAGACAACTGAGGCTATGTCCTATAGAATCTGGCTCCCAGAATTTGTTGTTAGAGAAATCGAGGTGGAGCGGGGTGAGAGGGTGGCTGCCCTGGATGACCTCATGATTGGCCACCCAAATATAGGAATTCATGGCAGACTTCCTTAGCCCATTCACTGCTGCCCAAGCAGCTGGCTACAGCCCAGCACAATGTAAACTCTTGGAAGGCAGGGAGTGTTTGGGTTTTGTTTTTCTGTCCCCAGTGCTGAGCACATAGTAGGTGAATCATTAATTGGACTGAATTTCCCTGATGGGGAGCTGAAAGCTGGGGCTTAAGAGGCTGTTGATACATTTTCTCTGAGACCCAGATCCTGCCTCTCCCCTCCCCAACTCACCCCCTCCCTAACTTGCCCTCCTCCCCAAGTGCTAAGGCTTAAAATGGAAGAATTCAAAGCCACCTTGCCTGACACATTTGTTAAGAGACAGAGATGACAAGATACCTTGACGTAGGCAACAATTTTCAGTGAGATTGTTGCCAGATAGAGTGAGTTCATGGCAAAATCCATCAGGTTCCACCAGTCATGGATGTACTCATTGAAGCCACCATCCCACATCTCCTTAATTTCTCCCCAAATGAAACCTGAGGGAAAGGTGGAAAAAGATATTATTTCTAAAGCAGCAACCAAGCAAAGTCTTCACAAGAGGATGACGGGAGAGGCAAATGAAGTTGGTGATTTATGAAAAGTTTGAGAACTCCCTTGGGGCTCTAGAACCAGGCTCACAAGCTCCATTCAGTTGATGGCAGGCAGGCTGTGGACTTCATATAACCTCCATGAGTGACAAACCCATTGATGGCTACCCTTGGAGCCCCACTAGAGATGGTGGGATTCTCTTACAAGGGGCAGGGGATGGGCCAGGACAGCCTAGGAAGAGCAATCACCCAATTAATGGAATTTCTGAGGTGGCAAAGAGACCACTAGGCCTCCTCTCCCCATTGAATGATGCCAGAAATTCCACCATTAGCACTTGAGCCCATTTGTGGGGGTGCATACTCTCTGGTGGGCTACTAAACAACTTGTGGTAATTTGCTTCTGAGTGTGAAGGAAGCTGCTGAAAGTCGGCCAGGTTACTGATGCTAGGATTCCAGCTTAACTGCCCAGTCACACATCAAAGTGATGATAGCCAGCCTTCCCTTTCAGCAGGGGTGGGGCGGCAGGCCCTTTGCTGAGCTTCACACACAGAATCTCGGACCTGGAAGGGACTTCTGTGGCCATTTACTCTAACCTATCCTTGAACATGATTCCCTCCACAATATTCCTGAAAGGAGGTTTGAGCCCATTGAGACAGCTCTGATTGCCATCCAGCCTAAATCTGTCTCTGCAGTCCTGCCTTCACTCCTCGCTATGCTCCTACTTCTGCCTTGGGGAGCCCAGAACAATCCCCTTTCCATACGACAAGTGTTTGAATACTCGAGGACAGCTAGCACGTCCATCCCTTGCTCACCACTCTTAGCCCCCAATCTTCTCTTCTTGCGGATAAACAGTTTCTTCAACTTCCTGCTGAGCTTGGTCAGTAGGAGCCTGTCAGCTCCCTCCTGGCATGGCTATGCTGGGAGGCTGGAATGTGGAGCCCAGGTCAATGAAGGTCTTGGCTGGAAGGAGCTGTTGGGTAACCTGATCTCTCAGTGACTTACCTAGAACCCAAGGCAGTATCATCCACTCCACCACAGTGGGTGGTGGCCCCTGCACATGCAGGTCTGTCCTGACTATGTGCTGGGACGCCAGGAGCAGCATGAAGAGGAAGGTCAGGTAGGAGGCCGTGTGGCAGATAAACTTGATAAATGGTTTTTTGATGAAGAGTCCAAGGTTGCTCCTGGGGGCAACCAAGTAGGCTATAGACAGCATGGGGAATAGAAGGCCAATGGTGATGCAGGTCAACATCTTGACTCCCCAGTGTCTACGCCGCCAGCCTGGGAAACCATCATACCACAGTGTGGCCAGCAGCTGCTGGCAGTTTGGCTGAGCAACAAACTGAAAAGAGAAGAGGCAAAGTTAGGTGTCAAAGATACCATGGGAGGCTCTCTCCACCTCCCCCTCCCCGCCCCAATAGTCTCCAGACTAGGATTGTGTGTCTAGGACTTCTCGGCCTGTTTTGCATCAAGAATGACTTTGTAGGGGGCAGCTAGGTGGTGCAGTGGATAGATCACCAGCCCTGGAGTCAGGAGGACCTGAGTTTAAATCTGGCCTCAGATACTTGACATATACTAGCTGTGTGACCCTGGGCAAGTCACTTAACCCCATTGCCTCACCAAAAAACAAACAAAAAACAAACAAAAAGAATGGCTTTATAGGCCCAGCTAGAGGATTGAGTTTTCTCCACAAGTAATTCTATTTCTATTAACCACCACAACAATAAAAAGGCACCATGTTCAAATTTCTCCCTTGGCATTTTTCCTGACTGTTCACTATAGCATGAAAATGGAGGAGTGGAATGGAAGCTGGTTCTGGAGGGCCTTGGCCTGGTTTTGCCTTCATTTGGGGGTATGTGCCCGTAAGGTAAAAGGCAGAGTGAGTGAACTGTGGGCCAGGAAAGCAGAATCTGTTGCCAGTGACCCAAGGAGGGCCCTGCTCCCTGTTTTCCCTTTGCCATTGCATGCAGTAAGGCTGACCAAAACCCAAGATACCTGAGACTTCCCTAGACTAGCCCCATCTTGCCAATCTGATGACCATGGTGACAGGAGGAAGAGCCATTTCAGTAATCCTCCTCTCTGTTTAGCTCAGTGTCCTCTACTGTGGGCTCTTCCCCTTGTCCCTGGGCATAGTCTTGTGGATTGGGTTCGATTAGAAGCTGTTGGAGGACTCAAGTCTCCGTGTGAAACAAAGGGCTTGGTCATGGCCACTGTTGCTGGGTCAGTGAAGACTTCAATCCTTGCCATCACTGTCAGAGTGCTTCTTAACTTTCTCAGGTGGGATCCTGGCAGTCAGAGGCTGCAGGGGCCTGATAAACAGGGACACAGCCCATACAGGAGACTGACTGGGAGGGGAAAGTGAGAGGTTCTCATTTTCTCCTTTGCTGTCATTCCTCCTAAGTCATTCCTCAGACATTCCTTGTGGACACCAATCAGCTACTGGGCAGCAAGACTGCCCTCCAAAAGACACACGCTGAGAAAAAGCACACTCCAGGGCAGGAACAAGCCAGTGCTGGTGGCGTGCCCTCTAGCCAGCTTCTCCCTTGGTTTCCAGTGGGATTTGGAAAGCTCTTTGGGCGGAAGTCACTGAATTCAGCTCCCTTGCAGTCTGCCTTCTATTCCATAGCCTCCCTAGTCTAGACAAATGACAAAGAGGGGTGGAAAATGTGTGGGGCCAAAATTATAATAGCCTATAGGAGACTCAGTGAGATTTTATTTAAAGGCAGTCTACAAAATGTCAGTGATTAATAATTAAAGACTCATTGACTTCACGGGGGATCCTCCAGCTGCTACTTCCTAGCAAGTGGCTCAATTGGAGACTGCAGTGTCAACCATTGAACTGCGATTGTGCCTAGATCCTGCTTCCCACGCACATTAGCTCCCGGCCAGCCACCAGGCAGTTGAAACAATCACTCCTCTCCTTAGTTTTAAGCCCAGGAAACTGTCCCACTCTGCCCAACAACTAAGCTGAACTGAACCAACCCTTTCTTTCAGTTAATTTCAAGAGAATGGCTCTAGGAAGAAGGGAATTCCACTGCTGCTGTCCATGGTACTAAAAATGTCTGCATCTTGTTCTCCCCACTCCACCCCCATGGCTTTCCCTCTGCCCTCTCCATCTCTTCACATCATCCCAACACATAGTCAGCCCACATTCGCCCTCCTCTCATCTTGGTAAAGAATAAGATCTTGAAGAGTCTAGCTACATATCCATCCAAGCCTCACTAAGGTGGAAGAAATGGGGAATTTGCCCAATTTTCTGGCAAGGCCACTGGATCTGGCTACAGAAGGCCTGGGTTTTAGTCCTTGCTTTGGCATTGACCTTCTCTTTGACCTTGGGCAAGTCTTTCCTAGTCTCTGGGTCTCCATTTCTGCATCTTTTAGATAAATAGTTTCTTAAGGTCCTTTCCAGCTCTCAGCCCCTTTGATCCTGAGGTGAAGAGAGTTCCATATGTGAAAGTGGCCATTTTGGCTGAGAACATCAAAATGAGAGTCAGTAGAAGGCCTGAGTTTTAGTCCTAGCTTTGGCACTAATTTGCTCTGCTTGGACAAGTCTTTCCTCTCTCTGGGCCTCAGTTTTCTCCTATGTAAAATGAGAGGATTGACCAAATTGTTTTCAACTTTAAAGCCCTGACCTTGGGCTAAGAAACACAGGCTTATTACATTCCTGCTTCCCCTCTGAGATGAGTGACCATTCCAGTCCTCTAGCATGGCTACTAACATCCCCCACCAGACTGAGTCCTGAAAGCCACTAACTCTTGAAGCAGTTTGCTTTAGAATTTGTTTATAGCCATTTTTAGAGGCATTTGGAGGGGTTTAGGAGAGAGCTCAAGCAAGTCACTGCTTTTACTCCACCATCTTGGCTCCGCCCCCTCTTGAAGCAGTTTGGCAGCACAGTGAATAGAGGCCTGGGCCTGGGGTCAGGAAGATCAGAATTCAAATTCAGCCTCAGACACATCCCAACTGTGTGACCCTGGGCAAGTCACTTAACTGTAAAATGGGGAGAATAACAGCACCTATTTTGCAGGGTTGTTGCGAGGATTGAATGAGATAAGAAGTGTAAAGCACTTGGCACAGTGCCAGGCGGACAGTCGATTATTTCTGTTTGTCTCTCTCTTCCTCTCCTTCTCCCTCCCCTTCCATCTGAATGTGGGAGACATCTTGGGAGCTGTCTGCCCCTCCTGGGTCTGCTATTCATTTTACTGCCCATTTATCCTGGTCCTGGCCAAGTCCCTGGGGCCAGTATTTAAACTGGCAGCATCCATCTTTTCTTGCCTTGGTCCTGGTTTGGCAGTAGATTGGGATTCTGACAGGACTGGGGGAAGGGGGAAGAAGGTTGATATCTTTGCTGTTTCTCCCGCCAGAAGCAGTGCTAGACTGTGAGCATTCTGCTATAATGAAGTTGCCTTGAGCGTATGAATAAAGGTCATTTGGATCGCTGCCTGGTAGCTAAGATAACAATGTTTGTGAGCTCAGAAGCGACGTTACAGAGCCATGGCATCTCCATGCTGGAAGGCAGCCCAGCAGCTACCTAGTCTAATGTGAAGCTGACCAGACTCCCTTGGCCAATGTTCCCAACAAGGGTGCCTTCCCTACTCTCCTGCCAGGACATCCTGGGCCACTCGGGGACAGTGGAATTGTTAAGTTTTCCCAGCATCAAAGTGAACATGGCCCCCCTCACTACTCCAGGTTCTGCTCTCTAGGGCCCAACAGAATCAGGCTAATCCCTCTTCCACATGCCAGTTCTTCAAAATCTAAAAACAAAGAAAAGAACAACAAACCTCTTCTTCAGGGTAAACATTCTCAATTCCCTCAAAAGAACCTCATATGGCACAAACACAAGGCCCTTTAGCATTCTGGTCATCTTCCTCTGGTCACCCTCCAACTTGTCAATGTTCTTATATCACGGCACCCAGAACTGAACACGATCCACCAGATGTGGTCTAACCAGTGCATGCACCCAAAGTACAGAGGGATTATCACCTCGTCAAGCTTGTGGTCCACCAATACCCCCAGAACTTTTTTCAGATAAACTGCTGCCTCACCATGCCTTCCCCATCCATATTCCTGCTTGTTCACAGTCTAGCACAGTCTGCCAAGATGTGTCTCCTACATTCAGGTGCTGGTATTAGTCCACAGCTGGTCCCAATAATGCCTCAGAAGCAGAAGTTACAGCAACAAAATCAGATGATCACCCAGGTCCCAGCAGGCAACAGAGCAGGGTTCCTCAAAGAGGAGTCTCCCCCATGGAGGGAGCACCAACAGATTGGGGGCTGCCTCTTGTTTCCCAAAGCCCATGTTCATATGCTTAGAAGTGTGTGTGTGTGTGTGTGTGTGTGTGTGTGTGTGTGTGTGTGTACACGGGCCTGCGCACACGGTGTAGCACACGTAAGCAGAGCTGTTTACTGGAGGGAAGAGCCCCATGGTGAGGAAGCCCCATTAGCTGCAGCCTAACGATGCATGGGTATCTAGAGGCCTTCCAGAGCAGTTGCCCCACTGGGCATGCTCAGACTGCAGCCTGAGACCTTCTTCTTAAGTTGAAACAGCCGGCTGGGGGTGGGGAGAGGTAGGAAGCCATACCCAACTCCTTCCAGGGTTCCTGTGCTTCCTGACACTGGATGATTGAACTGTCAATCAACAGCAGGCCAGCCAATGATATTGATGGGTGTGGTCTCTTCCCACTTCATCTGTATGTATGCCACAGCTATTTCTGGGGGCCCCTGAGTACAAACATTTTGCATTCATGGGAATGCATGGGATCATATGGGAGAGTGACACAGGGTGTATGTATGTGTGAAGGGGTGAGGACAGGGTGGGAAGAGGGCCTCTGAAAATGGGAAACCAGGAGTAGAGACACACTAACAGGACCAGATCTTAAATCTTCCTTGAGTCGGTGCAGCTGTGCTCTTGAAGGAAAGGGGATGTAGGAAGGGCTATGAAGACGAACAGCTGGTCTCTCGGCTCCCAAGCAGCTAGGCCACTTCTACTGGGAGTATGAAGCATGGCCCTACCTTAAAAAGAGGCAAGCAGAGTAGACCAAAGAATAGACAACATAAAATAAGGGGCACAGATCTGGGCAGGAGAAGGCATGACAAGCCTGGGGTGCAACCTCTGAGGCAGCTTATCCGACCTGTTCCTGATCCCAGATCCTTTCTGCAGCACCCTGAAACACTCTTTTTTTGATGACCTTGAGTGAAGGGTGGCCTACCACCTCCCATGGCAGCCTAGTCTACTGGAGGCACTTATGATTGCCAGGAAGGCAAAATCTGCCTCGATGCCACTCCCACTTTGGCAATGGGTGACTCTACTACCCTTGGTGGTCCCTCAGAAGTTCCGAGTTCTGTT